GGGGGGGAAGTGTCTGTTGTTGTTAACGCCTGGCTGATGACATCACTGGCCTGTGTTGGGAAAAATCAGGGCTTGTCGTTTGTCATGTCTCTGTGTCATTCGTTTGTTTTTTTTTTGGGTTTTTTTTGGGGTGTGATTCTGTTTTGATTTTTTTTTTCATATACAAGAGAGCCTCGGTAAATATGGGCCTAACAATAATTTTTCAGGTTCAGGTAAGAGAGACGCGTGGTGATTTGGTAAAAACTCTCATCTGTTTATTTTCTTAAATGTTTGGTTACTCGTTAGTGTTTGTGAAATAATCGCTTAGTAAAGAAGCATTTTCAAGATACAGTGCAGCATATAATATAATGATACTTTGTTGTCTCTAGTTCTGTGTTTTCAGATAGATATTCGATTAGTACTTTTGTGTATCCTGTTTTTTATCGCTTTGTCTGAGTTTGGAGTGGATATTATGTTGTCTGTAAACCACAAGGTTTGCTTGTTGCGAGAGACCTGTAGAAAGACTGTTACCCAGTGGCGGTGGGTAGTGAAGGGCTTACGGGCTTGAGCCCCTCACCCCCACCCGGTCCCCACCCCAGCTCTATCCCTTAGTTAATGAAAGTTTCTTAAATAACGAAAAAAGCAGTAAAAACCATTTTGATCGCACACAATAAATACACAGTTATCAGCTTGGCGACTTGCCGTTTATCGAATCACTGTTGTCACCGCTTACTACTGTAGCAACCTAACAGCCAATCAAATGTCGTTAGGGTTCAGAAAGAATAAGCCGGTTCACACGCCCGTCTTTAATGAAACTCTTCTTGTAAAAAGGTAGAAGACTTTAAAAAAAATAACACTGCACAGAGGGCTCACGCTCTCCCAGCCCTGACAATGGGGTGAAAGTTTACGACACACTTTTCCCCAGTGACACAGATACCTATGCGCCCATTAGGCGCGTTCTATTTTCCACAACAACACGACCCATCCACCTCATAGACGGTATGTGTTTGGAGTGTAGTGTGTTTGTGCCGCTGAGATGTAACAGTTATTAATTACATCAAACCACTTTTGAGGCAACTTTTTCTTCAGATATAAACTAATTAGAGAGATTTGGAGGCGAAACGGCTTCGTCTCCACATTCCAGAAGAGCTTAAATTGAATGGTTCTCAAAATGCCGGGGCTCGCCGTGCGTGAGTATAGAAAAACCATCACTGTTTTGCTCGTATTGCTTGCTTTCTGGTGGTAAAGAAGTGGAAGAAACCTAAGCCCCACCCAAATCTTGGTCCATCCACCGCAACTGCTGTTACCTGATTCTATTACGGACCGTTCACCAATAACGTCAGCTCACAGAAGGGAGTGACAGTGATACGTTGACAAAAGTTAACATGACAGGGGTCCTCACAGAGGTGTCGTCAACTGTGGTGCTCTAGAAGGTTGGAGAAGAACAGAAAAGAAAGGAAGACAAATTATAGACCACATTTTCTTGGCCGGAAATAGACACAGTTAAATTGAATCTATTATCTTTTTTTTGCCTAAAAGCTAAAATTAACGGTTATCTCCCAATAGGCCAAACTGCTGGAAGCTAGATTAGAACAAGTTTTTTTTATCTAAATGTACATGTACATTTTGGTTGACGTCAACTGGGGAGGGGGGGGAAAGACGACAAAAATGACAAGGGGAGGGTTCATTTTTGGCCAAATTTTAGCTGACGTCATTTGGTCACTTTTTACGACAAGCGGGCCAACCCAGATTTCGGGAGTTTCCAGAAATCTTGACCTACACCAAAAGTGGGCATTGCCCTACTTATAGGAAACGTTTAGTTTCATTGGTGTGTATATTTGTTTCGTTATAGAGAAAACTCTCCTTGTATTTTAAAGAAACTGAACAAGGTTCAAAAACTTTACCTTCGATTTTCTCAAACCAACATTTTTCGGGATAGCCCCCTAGTGCTTAAAAGCGACTATTTGTGAATGGTCACCTGAAGCCAACGCCTTAATCTCTTCCTGGCGACCCTTTGTTTCATTGCTGTTTGTGTTTCTACTTCCAGAGCTCAGAAATGGAAGCGCCAAACTTGTCCTCGCAAAATGGCACCTTGGAGGAAGGGAACCAGGAAAAAAGTACGTCCGCCAGGAACAAAAGATTGAGGTGCGGTATTTGCGGGGAGAAATATCGCCTGCCAAGAATCTTGCCCTGTCTGCACACATTTTGTACGGACTGTATCTGCAGCCTTCAGACGTATCCAGCCAATCAGGAGGAAGCTTCTTCGTCATCTGACACTGACCACACCAGTGATTGGCTGGTGCCGTCAACTGCTGGAAACAGTGCCGAGAATCTTCTAGAAGAAGGCGACGCGAGAACTGCGTTGACGTCATCAGCTGCGGACGTGTCTGTCGTGCCAAAGGCTGCCATACCTCGTGGACGGAGCAGGCACGCTAAACTGATAGAGAAACGCATTATACGAAGTAACAGCTGTCACGAAAATGACGCAACAGGTGAGGGTCATTCCTCACACAGGGTCAATGTCGTGGCCAGAAGTTCAAACGATTTGTCCAATACGTTGGAAGGATTGAATCTAGCGGGCGCCAGTTCTGTTTGTTTTGTGAATGACGTCGGTGAAAGAGACAACACCGAAGACCTGTCGATTGAAGAGACGAGGGTCGTTCTTTGTCCAGATTGTCTCCGGGAAGTGAAGATACCTGTCAACTTGGACGATCTTCCACGGAATTTCATGATGGAACGTCTCGTTGCTCACGACGCGCTGACCAAGGCCACAAACAATCTCCGGTGTGACTCGTGTTGCGACGATGATGATGATGACGACGACGATGATGGCGATGCTGATCGCGATGGTGGGGACGGCGAGCAGACGAGAAAGAGCGTAACGGCCCGTTGCGTGGAGTGCCAGGAAAACCTGTGCTCTCTCTGCGAGTTTTCACATCGACGCCAGAAAAAGACAAAATCACACCAGCTGATTTTGTTAGAGTACTCTTTGCGCACCAGCAACTGCAACAACAGCAAAAGCAACGGCGACATCAGCAGCTGCAGTAACAGCAACTCCACCAACAGCTCTATGACGACCATCCCCGAGTCGGTGAGAGAGGAGATTTTTAATCAAGAGAAAGCCAACCCCAGCCACAGACCGAAAGTGCTGAAAAACATCACTCGACTCAAACTCCCAAACCTTCAACAGTTTGGGAAGCTATTGAAAGACATAGGTGGTAGCGTTGGCGATGTTCGTCATGGTGATAGTGGTCATGGTGACGGTCGGCATGGTGATGGAGAAAGAAAAGATACCACGAATTCTGAAAACCAGCCCAGAGACGAGGATCTGAAAGTAGCAGACGACACCCCATGTGACGTCAGCAGTAGTAATGACGTCAGCAACATCAGACCAGGAATGAACTCAGGCCTCGAGCACACCACACGATTGACAAAGATTCCCAGAACAGAAAGGGAGGGACAAGATTTCTCAAAGAGAAAGAAAATTTCGAGCAGTTTCTGGTCACGTGAGAAACTGAGCACAGAAAACATCTCAGTCAATGGTGATACTTCCAGAAGGAAGAAGTCACCAAAAGAGGAAAACGGCAAGGTAGAAGGTAAACTTCTTTCTTTGTACTTTTCTTTTCTTGGATGGTGCTCTGGTGTGGTTTACTCCTTCTTTCCTTCCAAACATCGACCATCCTTTTCTCTGCTCCTTTTTTGCGTTTATTACTTTCTTGTAATAATACTTCACAGTACATTCCAACTCGCAGTTTAAGGTCATCAGCTGACAAAAAGAAATTTATTTTACCATCTATGAAACTTAAAACAATGGGTGAAAGGGCATTTGAATACCAAGGCCCCAAGATCTGGAATGCTTTACCAAGTACGTTGAGAGAAATCAAATCTTTTGA